TTGATCTGGCTATACATCGTGTGACAGACTTACTGTACAGATATCCTACAGTGACAAGATCTGTGATACGTTTCTCCAAAATACCTATGATGGCATTGACTGTGGACCAAACAAAGAGATGTTAAACATGTCACCATTGGTGCCTTAGCATCGAATAAACACAGAGTAACATGAAGTGTGGTGAAGGTATAAACTGTGGTTAAATTAATATATATACATTTGTGTTATAATAACAGCATGTATAAAATCATTATATTATTAAAGCAGAAGTAAAATTACATGTTGTTTTTGATACAGAATACTATAATAACAAAAAATTATCAGAAACAAACTTCTTGTGGTTACATTTTAGCTGTTCCAATAAGAAACATATATATATATATATATATATATATCTATCTATCTATATATATATTAGTAATGGGAAGGACTCGTAACTCGTATTTCATCACATGGTTTGTTTGTATCTGTATTTTTTAGTGTAGTAATGGTAGCAGGTATATATATATATTTTTATGTCATCATAAGTTATCTTTTATTGTTCTTCGTATACTCACCAGTAACTATTGGTATTTTAGGTTGGTGGACGATTATTACCTTCAGAAAAACTCCTGATGAAGAATAAATCTTTCTACACTAGTCCTGAAGCTGACTGGGGAAGAAATATAACACAAGATGCTGTTATAAGTGCTGTTAGTTTCAATATTATAAATTGTTTTTATCACACAAATGTTAATGTTATTAACTGGCTTCAAACGTATTCCAATTGATTAGGCCTACTCTTCTTATATTATTGTTCTGTCTTTCCAATAGGTTACAAATATTTAAACTTAAAACAACCCTAATTACTATTAGGGCTATTTTGCTGCACCTTGACTAAGTTTTTAGGGAAGCCAAGTGAAAAGTGTGGAGAAAGAAAAGTTACACGTGTAACTTAGTGTTAAAACCTCTAACTAAATCAATTAGATTGAGAAGAATTAACTTCTTCATTTGTATTGTAACGGACAAAATACAGAACCTTTACCGTTAGTATAATTTATGAATAAGTGATAACCGTGATGATTGGTGTAATTTATTGTCATCAACTAACACTTAAGTTTTGGTTAAAATTACACCACTTTCAAACACTTTTTGGACATCAACTTTATTGTCATAATGTAGTGTTGTGGTAATGTTGCCATAATGAAATCTAAAGTAATGGCGAGGTAATGTTTGCCTTAATGAAACCTAAAGTAATGTTGCCTTAATGAAATCTAAAGTAATGGTGAGGTAATGTTGCCTTAACCCTTTTGAGACGGGTCACGGGTGAAAGGCCATGTCATCTCGTTTGTGGACTCGCATTAAAAATGTTATTGAACTACTATTTCACGAATTTATGTCAATAAGGGTTAAATAATTTCATGGACTTTAAAAAGGTTAATTGAGTTACACTCTTGGTTTCACTCAGAGCCAAATCTCTGAGCTACTTATAACACCCATCACGAAAAGTAATTGTTGAACATTTCAGTCATGCTAAGAACCACTCAACAATAACATACAGTAAATCTACATTTTTATTCTTTAAGTTACGTCACATTTTGGAATGTGAATGATAGTGTTGATTAATACTTAACAATTTAGTGTAGAATATCCTGCTTGTGAAATAAAATTTGGAATCAACATTATTCCTGCCTGTTCTCCCATCATTTTAAAAGTGAATGTTGAACTTTGCCTGCTTGTGGAGCTTTTCAAATGAGAGATGAACGAATGCTCAGACAGACACCACAGTTCGCAATATATATATATAAGATTTGTGAAATATCATTGTGTATCAGTAGTTATGGTATTAAAGATCTTTGTTTTTCAAAACGAAATGGAAGAATGAGATTTAAATCTTACATCTCGTTTTAGGTTCATCTGAATAACTGGTTAGTTATTGTCAGCAAACGAGATGGAAGCAAAGCCAATGACTTTATTACCATGATGAAAAAGGTGTGTCCTTCAATGGGAATCAACATTAGTGAACCAGTGCGTTTCATTCTCAGAGATGACCGGACTGAATCTTACCTACGTGCACTGAGGGATAATGTTAACCAACAGGTAAAATTTTTGACAAGATTTTTTGAGTTTATTTATATCTAGGTATATTTTGATTTTGAAGTTTCTTCTATGTATTTTATTGACCAAACAACATATGTTCCCTGGTTAGGCTCAGTATACTCAGCTCTTCCTTAAGTTCCTTGAAAAATAAGACATTACAATTTTGTAGGAATTCTTTGAAGTATCTTGGATGGTTGAATATCTGACAAGCATTTAAAAACAAGAGTTTAGTTTATAGCTTTCTGGAAAACATTACTTCAAGGATATTTGAGTACATAGCTTTAGTAATTGAACTTTTTATGGTAACAAGAAAATATTACTAATGCATGAATTACTAATTAAACTATTAACCCTCTTGCCATGGCCATCTGTTTCTGTATGTGTCACAAGGTTTTAGAGAGTTACTTTCAAGATTGAATTAAACTACTTTCTTTTCATGGTATACCAATAAATATAGCATAAAACATAGTTAATAATCCATACTTTAAAAGTATGTAAGATTTAAGTTCTTGATTTTATAAGGCAATACTTAAAAAATTCTGAATTTCCCCTAGTGTAAGAAAGGTGACACTTTCTCTAAGCATCCCCTCTTCTCTATTTTATTCACCACCCCTCCAATAAGTACGAAATTTAATGTAAATTACTCACTATAAAATCATCATTGCTCAGATAAACCAAATTGTTCAACCTTGTATAAAGTTAGGGTAAAGAAAATAACAGTTAAAATGTAACGTTTTACTTGAAAAAACGTTTGAAATTTATTTAGGAGGTTTTAGAAACTATAGAAATAAAATTTGAGATTTTTTAAATGAAGAAAAGTATTTTTAAACGTCGCACGGAAATCACTTAGCACTCGGACTTGTACATAGAAATACTATATATATTCACGGATGAATCTTTAGTAAAAATATTTCATTAAAAAATATGATTTTTTGCATACAAAAGGCTTGTATTTTTACTAAAAGTCTGCCAGATTTTGTGAACATACAAGTACAGTATCAGAAGTTATAATATGAAAGCTATAATAAGTACTAAGCCCATAGTGAGAGAGTTAATATAGTTTTCTATTGATTAGAAGGGTTGATTATTTGATCAGAGCAGTTTTGAATTCTGAAATACTCTTGTGCTTTACAGTCTTTTGAGTGAAATGCTAAATAACCATCCCTTCATTTTAAGTCAATTAGCAATTTTAAACACATGCTTACAGATTTTTAGATTTTATTTATATATCCTTTTAAAAACTTGTTCTTTACTGTTTACCTCCGATATAAAATGTACATATATAATTTTTTTTCTAGAGTGTCTTGAGAAAATGATTTTGTTGTCATCATTGTTTGTGTACGATTTATGACATTCTTCATTTGTTGTAGGTTCAAGTTGTGGTGATAATCTTTCCAACATCTCGAGACGACAGGTACAGTGCAGTTAAAAAACTTTGTTGTATCGATATGCCAGTTCCTTCCCAGGTGATTAATGCAAGGACGATATCCAATCACCAGAAACTAAGAAGCGTTACACAGAAAGTTGCACTTCAGATCAACTGTAAATTAGGAGGAGAGCTTTGGGCCTTAGAAATACCGATTGTGAGCATTTTGTTTACAAACTTTAAATCTCTCAAGATGGGCTCGGTCAATTTGACCGACCACGTGACCTCTTCGGACTCGTTTAAAGTCTTTATAGATTTAATGCTTCTAACTTTCAATATAGTGTGTATATCTTCACATTTGGCAATCTTTTAGTTAACATTATAAGTCTTTCATGTACAAAAAATATTTTTAGTGAAGTATTTTTAATAAAATGAAGATTTGTCCATGAATATATTGAGTATTTGTAATGGCTGGAGACGGTGTGAATGGGTAATGAAGAAAAACTTTAATATAACA